ATAAATTGGAAAAAATGCAATCCCAGTTGGTAGAGACTTTATGTTTGCTTGAAAAACATTTCCCTCCTTCTTTCTTTGATATAATGGTCCATCTATCAATTCATCTTGTGAGAGAAGTCGAGCTTTGTGGGCCAGTTTGGCTACGTTGGATGTATCCTTTCGAAAGAGAAATGAAGATATTCAAGGGATATGTACGCAATCGTGCGTATCCTGAAGGTTCAATTACCGAAGCGTATATTGCAGAGGAGGCAATTGAGTGTTTATTGAGTTCTGAAGATTGTACAGTAGGATTGCCAAAACGTTTCCAGGGTGCACAATCTAGACCCCTATCTGGTGCAACGATGATCACCCCGACCAATAATGACTTGCACCTAGCACATTTGTGTTTCCTCGAAAACTGTGATGATGTCCAACCATACTTTATGTAAGTATTTTTTTTTTAAATTTTGACAGTTACTTCGCTTTCATTCTTCTTTATAATATTATTAAAGAATAAAATTGTTTCAGTGAACATATGGGTGCTTTGGTGAAAATGTATCCACAACGTTCTAATGATGAGGAGTGGCTCAAGAACTAGCAAAACGAAACTTTCCCGGGCTGGTTTCGTAGAAAAGTAAGTACAATCTGTCATCATATAGTATTTGTGCAGATTCTTAAATAAAATAGCAAAATTTGAAATTATTGTACTTGTGTTACTTCGTTTGGACAGATTTCAACAGACTTGCTTGTGGAGAATAATACGGTATCAACGGAACTAATGTGGATTGCAGAAGGGCCTAACAAGGATGTACCCACTTTCAGTGGGTATAAAATCAATGGTGTGACCTACAGCACCAAAGAACGTGATGATATGCGTCAAGTTCAGTGTAGTGGTGTTTGTGTAGAAGCTCAAACAATGCTCGTAGTGTTAGTCGGTTTATTCGTTGTGCCCACGCCTTAGAGGGGGGTGAATAAGGCGTTTAAAAATTTTTGGAGTTTAATAAAAAAAGGTGTTGTCAAATGCGGAAGCAATATATAAAACGCAAAAGTAAAAGCGTAAAGTAAATGCACACCGATTTTATACTGGTTCGGGAACTCCCTACTCCAGTACCTTAAGGCTCCTCCTTAAGGATTTTCAATCCACTAGAACGCCTTGACCGTCTCAATACCATCGTCACGAGGGAACCAGTCTTTGGCAAACAAACCTTTGCCAATAGGTTTACACTAGATCAACAATACTTCACGCCTTAAAGTATCCAACTAGCTTGAGGATTTTCTAACGGCTATCCCCAACCGTGCACCGAAGATTTGCAGGATGTCTTCAACCTAGAGATTTGTAACGGCTATCTCCAACCGTTTCAACAAGGATTTCACGGATGTCCTTGACCGCTTCCGGAGATTTCACCACGGCTATCTCCAACCGTCTCAATGAAGATTTTACAACGGATATCTGCAACGTATTACAAGAATTTGAGAATTTGAATGAATCAACACCACCTCAAGAATATGAAATACAAGGTTGGGTTGGTGTGATGATTTCTATACACTCTAACAATTACAACTCTCTTATAGACAATATGAGTGTATATCTCTTTTGAATCAAGCTCAATGTGTGTTCAAGAAAATATATTAAAGAAATGGCTCTTTAATAGCCTAATAAAAATCAGAGATTTTTATGAACACAAGAAGAAAGAATTTAGAGATTTTAGCAATGCTTTATTGATTAAAACATTGAAATGGTTTGGGTATTTATAGGGAAGGATTAGGAGTTGTTTGAAATAGAAAAATAGCTGTTATGGAAGAATAATTAACCCCAAATACCATAATTAAAATAATCCAACCGTTGGGTGTGAAAAAGACAAGAAATAAAGGATCTGGTCTCCGAACGGTCCATCACATCGACCGTTTTAGTCCAAACGGTCGACCGTTCGGGGTAACGTTCAGATTCCTCCAACGGTCAGTACGACGGTCGACCGTTTGAGAGTAACGGTTCACCACATCGACCGTTCGTTACTGGGTGCGCAATTTTAAAATAAATTTTGTAAAATGTTAATAACTTTTTCAATACTAATCTGAATTGAGTAATTCAAGAAACAGTGATCTAGTATTGAGAAGAGTTATAACTTTGGTTAAATATTTTGAAAAAATATTAAAATATTTACCAAATGTATTTTAAAAATAAATACCCAAGTAAAAATCTTTTTTGTGTGTGTGCAAATTTTAGCTTGAGCTTAGAGATATATCATTCAAATATCATTAACAATAGATGACTCTAAGCTATTCTATGCTAATCCTGTGTGAGCGAACGTATTGACGCAATCAACGCGTTTTAGTGGATTTTGTCGTTCCTACACAATTGAACAAACGTTAGCTCAATTAAATTATTTGTTAACATCAAAACATGAGATTAAGCATACCAAGGCTAACACGTAGTTGGTAAGGAAAAAAACATCCAGCATGGTACACACACATTTTACGGTGTTATCGTAGAAATTTGGGAGTTAGACTACAACCATTTTAGGGTTCCCATCTTTCGTTGTAAATGGGTAGATATGAATAGAGGGGTTAAGGTAGATGATTTGGGATACACTGTGGTTAATTTGAACAAATTAGGTTTTCAGAATGACCCATTTGTGTTGGGGAAACACGTCATGCAAGTATGTTACATTGATGATCCTCTTGAGAAACTATGGTCAGTTGTCCTAAGATTACCTGAGAAAAACTATATGGACATTGATGAAGATAGTGAGGGGTCTGTTGAATTAGAACTCGAGGAGGAGTTGGATGTGAGATTGTTACCACCCAACCACGCAATAAATGAAGATAATAGTAATTACATGCGAGAAGAAGATGAATTGATTGTGTTGGCATAAGTTTTGTTAACCGTTAAGTGGGCCAATTTTTGTATTTTGCTCTGCCAGAGGGTGTATTTTAGGTGGATG